ACATATTACAGTATATACAGTAAAATACCATACTCATGCATTCATACCTCATAAACCCTTGCTGTTTTGCTGCTATGAAAGATTGCAATTGTTACTTTGGCAAAACATCAACGACTTTTAGCAGACGGTTTCCTCTATCCAAAATGTCAGTCTGTGATAGTGATCTTTTATTATTCAATACGACATATCTCACAAGTGAGCCAGGTTAAGGAATCAATTTGTTTAAGGGTTCAGGACGGAATTTGATTTTCAATCTCAAGGGTGCACCACCTTATTCTCTAACAGGGCTCTCTTCCTATTACCCAGAATGCATCAGCATATCATTACAGTCCCTGTCAGGAGAGAGGAGGGTCAGAGTCATTCTGTAACCATGGTGACTGTGATTGTAAATCCAACCTAGTTTGGATTCAATCATCATACAGTCAAAAAAAGAAATTTGTTGGTGCTGGTGAATACACATAAAGACACTTTTGGAAATGCTGAAGTGCTTTTTCTTATGAAATGGGGCCCTTACATGTTTGTTGCATTTAATATAATGCAAGATAGATATTACAGATGGCATATGATAGTAAAAGAAGGCAACACTTGCCCAAGTATCAATGTTTTGTCGTGTTAAGGGAACATGCATCAGCTTGGCACTCAAGAGGATTTTTGTTAACTGATGGTGGATGTTTCAGCATGACTTGTGTCAGCACCTGCCCCTTATGCCCTATATGGATTCACACACCATTAGGCAGCGTTCTTCGAAGTGACTGCCAGGTCCAGGGTCCTACGTGTTATCGAACAAGGTTGCAAAAGGTTAGGAGACATCCCAAAGCTCTGCTTATTCTCAAAACAGCACTGTGATCTCTGCTTCTGACTAACAAGATATTATAACATTCATTTCCAATTAAATCCAAGTCAACAACAGGATCAGCATGTAACGTCTCAAAGCCTTCAATCTCTTTGAATCTCTGTTAAGACCAGAGACTTGGAATCAAATTTTGAAATAAAATAAGCTTTGATGTTAGAGTCACATGCAAATGTTGACAGGAACAACAAAGCAGCACTAATCTTTGTAGCAGGTTTCATCTGGTAAAAATGAAATATTTGACTCTGAAGCATGTTATTGCACATCTACACTATTTTCTGTATACTGTGTAAAGAATTAAGCTTTCATTGGATTCAATTAGAGTAATTTAGAGCAGGAAGTGGTGTTAAACTAGATTTGTTTCCTTTAGAAAGACTTCTGCATGCTCATACCATCAAGGTATTTGGTGCCTGAATAAATACATTTAAATCCTCCTACTTATGAGTTCAAAAATATCAAATACTGCAAAATTAATTATCTGGACAATTTCACATTTCTTTCTCTCCTTTTCACTCATAGACAAAGAGAGGAAGGATTTTAGCTCTAGTACAACAAAATAAACATCAAAAGATGCCCATATAAGTGTTTTCTGGCAAAGTTTATCACTGTCTTTCACCATCAGTACACAAAAAGCCTACAAATTGAATTGTACAGGCAATATTTATACATAAAAAACAGTAATAATGTGAAATATTACAATTTAAAATAAAAGTTTTTTAATGTAATATATTTAAATTTATCATAAATATTATAATTCATTCCTGTGATGGCAAAACTGAAATTTAAGCAGTCATTCAATGTCACATGATCCTTCAGAAATCATTCTAATATGCTGATTTGGTGCTCAAAAAACATTTCTTACAATTATCAATGTTGAAACAAGTTGTGCTGCTTAATGATTTTGTGGAAACCGTGATCATTTTTTTTTGGATGAATAAAAAGTTAAAAAGAACAGCATTTTTTGTAACAATGTAAAAGTTTTTATTTCAATTATTATCTATAAAATTTCAACAACAACAAAAAAAGTAAAAAAGAAAAATCCTCAAACTTTTGATCAGTAGTGTCAATTTAAAAACTTGCTCACTCCAGTCCTAAATATGTGGTTACACTTTCAATAATAAACATACTCGGTCAACCATAAGATTGCTCATTTCAAATAATTATGAGGCTGCTGCATGCTAATGGTGTTTGGATCTCCTACCCTCTTAATTGTCGTCTTTACGTCCATTTCCTAGACTGCATCCATCAAATCTCCTGTTGGCATGAAACATGTCTGGAGTACCGTGGGGCGGCCTCAAGACCTTTTAATTCACACCTAATGGGAATTCTTAATTAATGTTGTTCCACCATTAATATCCTGAGGATCAATAAACGACAAGCATGGCATTATCCCATTTATAATCATTAACAACACCTCAGTACATTGTTCATTAACACTCACCTTCATGTGTTCCACTTGAGAAACTCACATGGATATACAGAATGGCAAATACCCACAATTACATCATGCTTTCAATATCCATATGCACATAAACTGCAATGCACCATGCATGTCAATGCAGGAACCTGCACAAAGTAAATGGACACACGCTGTGCAGATACACATAAAAATATCATACGACAAGCACAACTTTGACACATACTGTAGAGACATGTCACATGGAAAGTCACACATATGCACACACAGTACCCAGAAATGGAAGCTTTGACATCCTGACACACTCATTCCCGCAAGGATGCTGACAGCAAATGCAGTCAGTGTCTTTCTCCTGATACGAACTGAGCTGACTCATTCAGTCAGTCACCCATTGGGGGTCTTGTCAACCCTGTCTGAGACAGGGCTCAAGTGAATGCCACACTTTACTGAGGCTGATATAAAGAAGGTGATGCAGAGGTGAAAAACACCTGCCTCGTATAGATCCATCCTTTTCTAGAGGAAAAGAAACAAGATGGAATAACCTCATGAATTAGAATAAGAAAATATGCATCTTACACTGTCTTATTCAATTCAAAGGTGTTGATGAATAAACTGAATGTACTATGTACTATACTATATACTATACTAAAACTATAGCTGTGTGTGTGTGTGTGTGTGTGTGTGTGTGTGTGTGTGTGTGTTTCAAATGCTGTTCTTTTGAATTTTCTACTAATTAAAACAATCAATTCAAAGGTGTTGATGAATAAACTGAATGTACTATGTACTATACTATATACTATACTAAAACTATAGCTGTGTGTGTGTGTGTGTGTGTGTGTGTGTGTGTGTGTGTGTGTGTGTGTGTTTCAAATGCTGTTCTTTTGAATTTTCTACTAATTAAAACAATCCTGAAAAAAAGTATGATTCCACGAAAATATTATGTAACAGAAAACTGTTCAACTTTGATTTTAACTTCGATAACTGAACACCAAATCAGCATATTAGGATAATTTCTGAAGGATCATGCGACACTTAAGAGTAGTGACACTGGAGTAATGGCTGCTGACAATTCAGCTTTACAGGAAAAAGTTATATTTTAAAATATTTTCAAATAGAAAGGTATTTTTAATTGAAATAATATTTCACAGTATTTCTCCTTTAACTGTATTTTTTTTATCAAATAAATGCATCCTTGGTGAGCATATAAGACTTCTTTCAAAGTCACTAAAGAAATCTTAATTATTCCTTTACTCTTCAACTTTTGACCATTAATGTTAATTAAATATTATTTGTGTATCAAGTCTTATTATTATTGAGTCACTGTATTAGTATTAGTATTATTTGTAAATATTTTTGCAAAGTATTATTAAGTATTATTCTTTCTATCTATACAATGGCAATTAAGAGTGACTTGACTTGAAATTCCAAGCCTCAAAAGCCATTTAATGTGATCATGTGCGAAAACAAAAACGCATGAATTTAACACGCTCTCACATGTGCACAGATGTGATAGCATGAGTTCACATGTAATATTCATGGATTTTTTTTTTTCTTTCCATAAGGGTGACCGTGAACTCAGGATGGTGGATGTGTCATATTAATTCTGGCATGAGTGAAAAAATATTCAAAAGGTCTGCCACAAGATCAGCAGATATCTGATTTTCCATAACGCCCAGGCAATTCAATGAACCCCAGGTTGGTTCCAGGGGACCATACGTTACTTTGAATCTTCGAAATGACTAGCGAATCCGTATGGCTTCATGTAATCTGATCCGGGGTGAAGTCAGTGCATCTCACAGCAGAGAGGCAGAGAAGATGAGTCAAGACGCTAAAGAAGAGATTAATCTTACCAACACACACATATGCACTCTCACTCATCTTCAAGCATATTTCACAGCTTGGTGTGGGGGTGGGGGTCTCTGCTTTGATGAGATTTTCTTGACGAAAAGTCATCTCATCAGGAGAAGTTCAAAAAGAGGCTCCATCAACAGCAGAATAAAGAATAAGAACAGAAAAAAAAATCAGCTTATGTTAACCTCATTTGATGAATCTGTAATTTATCTCAAATTTAATTAAAACAAAAGAAAAAATGGTTTGTAGATGGCTAAAAGGACTCTTATCCTGGGATACAATAAAATACACACTAGGCCAGGGATTGTTTAAGATGGAGTGTAAGTATTTGCTGCCCTCTGCTGTTCAACTTTATGATAAAAGACACGTTCAATACAGTTAAAAAACAACAACAACAGCAATTCGTTTTGCGTGCAGAAGCCATTAGAATACTGTCCTATAAATAAAGACAACAATAAATAAATAATTACATTTTGCTACGTTTATTTAGCAAATATAGATAAATGGACAATATGGACAAAATATTACATAGGCTACTTTTAGGCTTATTAGCGACCTATCTACTAGAATGGGGAAAGACCATCTTCTTTACAACTGCTGGTCAATGTTAAGTTTAAACAGCATAAAATCAGGTCAAAATCTGACAATAATAGGTATGACAAATAGTGCTTCTTTACCTAAAGTCAAATAAAAAACAAATAAATAAAACAAAAATCAGGTTAGTCCTCATAATGCGCATGCGCTTTCGAGAATATACAAACAGGCGACGCCTGCAAAATTAAAAGAATAAACAATGTCCTCCCTTAATGATGTCTTTGAGTGTTTTATCATTTGACCCCTAATTGCTTTTTTTCTAGTGATGGCGTGATGAAGCCTCATGATAATATAATGTAGCGATCCAGTATCAAAGCTATTTTATTAATAAAAGTCGCGGGCCGTAGACAACAAGTTTCTGAGCTCTGATTTGTGTGCGAGTGGTGTGTGTGTGTGTGTGTGTGTGCATGAGTCAAGTGCCGCATTAATATAGCTTTTTATACACTGTTGTTCAAAATCAGTTAGATTTTTAATGATTTTTACTGGAGTCTCTTATGCTCATCAAGGCTGTATTTGTTTGATCCAAAATACAGGGAAAAAACAGTAATAATGTGAAATATTAAATATTGGATTCTATTTTAATATAGTTTAAAATAGAATTAATTTCTGTGACGCAGCGCTGAATTTTCAGCATCATTACCCCAGTCTTCAGTCACATGATCCTTCAGAAATCATTCTAGTGGTTTATTAACAGTGTTGAAACTGTTGTGTTGCTTAGTATTTTTCTGGAACCTGTGATACTTATTTTTTTTTTTATTCTTTGATGAATAAAAGGATAAAAAGAATAGCATTTATTCAAAATAGTAGGGTACAACGGGGCTAAAGGCTCACCTTAAGAAAAAATGTGCCTTTCACTGCGCCTAAAATGTATAATTGCAGAATAAAAAATATACGTTGTATTAATCATTAATGGAGCAACAGATTTTGTGTGAAAATAAATCATTCAAGTTGTTTATTTTGTTTACAAATCTTATAAATGTATGAGGTGGCAAGAGGGG